GCAGACCTTGTGGTTCAAACAGACCTTGCAGTCCAGTGCTTTATCCTACAATGCCACACCAGTGAGCTGAAATGGACTAGTATTGGTCATTTTGTAGTAAACATGGTTTACTAGGCCGGGAATGACAAGTTAAAGAGAAATGGTTTATCATTCAACATTAAAAAGAACATTTTAAGATCTATCTTGACGTACAATGCTATCTGTGATGGGATAATATTTACACGCCTACAAGGAAGATCAGTTAATACAAAGATTATTCAAATTTGTGCACCAACCACTAAAGTCAGTGATGACGTAATTGAAGAAGTCTACAAACTTCTTCAGTCTGAAATTGATCAAACATGCAATTGATATGTATTAATAATTACTGGTGATCAGAATGCAAAGGTTGGAAACAAAGAGGAAACATCAGTTGTTGGAAAATATGGCCTTGGTGATACAAACAATGCTGGAGACAGCATGATAGAATTTTGCATGACCAATGACTTTTTCATTACAAATACCTTTTTTAAACAACATAAAAGATAACTACACACATGTACTTTACCAGATAGAATACACAGAAATCAAACTGAGTACATCTGTGGAAAGAGACAGTGGAAAAGCTCTATTTCTCACTAGCCAAAACAAGGCCACAGGCTAACGGTGGAAAAGACCATCAAATGCTCATATGCAAGTTAAAACTGAAGATGAAGAAAACAAAAACAAGTTCATAAGAATCAAAATATTACCTTGAACACATCCCACCTAAATTTAGATATCATCTAAAAAACATATTTGATGAATTATACACTAGTGACAGACCAGAAGAGTTACAGGATGACATAAAGAACATCATACAGGAAGAAAGCAAAAGGTCACTAAAAGGACAAGAAAGAAGAAAAAGACCAAAATGGATACCAGAAGAGACTGAAATTTGCTCTCCCGCACAGAGATGCTAAAGTAAATGGAAGAAACGAGGAAGTAAAAGAGTTGAAAAAAAAGATTTCAAAGAGCAACTCAAGAAGACAAAGTCAAATATTATAATGAAATATGCAAGAATCTGAAATTAGAAAACTAAAAGGGAAGAGCATGTTCAGCATTTTCTCAAGCTGAGGGAACTGCTGAAGAAACTCAGGCCTCACCTTGCAATACTAAAGGATTCTATGGGCAAAATATGTAGTCCTGGTGTGGCACTGTAGGATAAGCATTCAACCACAAGGTTGGTGTGAACTGCAAAGTCAGCGGTTCAAACTCACTAGCTGCTCCTCAGAAACACTACACAGGTTCGCTATGAGTCAGAACTGATTCTATGGCACTTGACAACAACAACAAAGGGTAAAACAATGAATGATGCAGAAAGCACCAATAGAAGATGGAAGGAATACACAGAGTCACTGTACCAAAATTAAATGGTTGATTTTCAATAATTTTAAGAAATAGCTTATGATCAAGAGACAATGATCCTGAAGGAAGAAATCCAAGGTACACCAACCCTTCACTTTATCAAGCATGGTGTCCTTTTCCAGGGACTGGCCTCAACTGGTAACACATACGAAGTGTGAAAGACAAAGTCTTGACATCCTCACCTCCAAGGAGCATTCTGGCTACAATTCTTCAACAAAGATTTGTTTGTTCTTCTAGCAGTATATGGCACTATTATTATTCTTCTCCAACACCATAACTAAAATGCATCAATTCTTATATGGTCTTTCTTATTCATTGTACAACTTTCGTGTGCTTATGAGGCCATTGAAAATACCCTGGCTTTCATCAGGCATACCTTAGTCTTCAAACTGATATCTCTGCTCTTGAATACATTAAAGAGGTTTTGTGCAGCAGATTTGCCTACTGCGATACGTTGTTTGAGTTCTTCAGTGCTGCTTCTAAGAGTGTTGATTGTGGATCCAAACAAAATAGTCTTTGACAGCTTCAATCTTTTCTCCATTTATCATGATGCTATTTATTGATTCATTTGTGATGATTTGGGCTTTTGGGGTTTGTTGGGTTGCTTTTTTTTTTTTTTTTTTTTAATATTGAAGTGCAATCCAAGCTGAAAGTTGTAGTCTTTGATCTTCAATAATAAATATTGTAAGTCCTCTTTGCTTTCAGGAAGCAAGGTTGCATCATCTGCACATCGCAAGCTGTTAATGGGTCTTCCTTCAATCCGGATGTCATGCTCTTCTTCATAAAATCCAACTTCTCAGATAATTTGCTGAAAGAACACAACTTGGACACACAAATTTGTTGATTTTAAACCTTTCAGTATCTGCTTCTTGGTCTATGTATAGGCTCCTTAAGAACACAATCAAATGTTCTGAAATATCCATAACTCGATGAACCACACAGCCGAAAGCATTTGCATGGTCAATGAAGTACAAGTAAACATCCTTCTGGCATTATTTGCTTACAACTAAAATCCACCTGACGTTAGCAATGATATCCCTCATTCCATGCTCTCTTCTGGATCCTACATGAATTTCCGGCAGCTCCCTGATGATGTACTACTGCAATGTTTTTTGAATTATCTTCAGAGAAATTTTATTTGCACATGATATTAATGATGTTAGATGATTTCCACATTCTGTTGGGTCACCTCTCTTTAGAATGAAAATCAATATGGATCTCTTCCAATTGGTTGGCTAGGCAACTGTCTTCCAAATTTCTTGGCAAAACTGGCAAAAATGTAAGCACCTCCAGTGCTACATTTTGTTGAAACATTTCAATGTGTATTCTGTCAACTCCTGGAGCCTTGTTTTCGCCAATGCCTTCAGTGCTGCTTTGACTTCTTCCTTCAGTGCCTTCGGGTCTTAGTCATACGCTACCTTGTGAAGTGATTGAACATCGACAATTTCTTTTTGACACAGTGACCCTGTTGTATTCATTCCATCGTTTTTGATGTTCTCTGTTTCATTCAATATGTTGCCCATGGAGTTCTTCAAAATTGCAATCCAAGGCTTGAATTTGTCTTCATTTCTTTCAGCTTGAGAAATGCTGAGCATATTCTTCCCTTTTGGTTTTCTAATTTTAGGTCATTGTAAATTTCATTATAATAATTGACTTTGTCTTATCAAGCTGCCCTTTGGAATTTCCATTCAGCGCTTTTACTTCATCATTTCTTTCATTTGCTTTAGCTCCTGTACACTCAAGAGCAAGTTTCAGGTCCTATTTTGTCTCTCATGGACCAGGTTTAATTTTCTTCAGCTTCAGCCTTTAATGGTCTGTCCCATCATCTGGCTATGGTTTTGTTTTGGTGGATGTTATTGATTTTCCCCATCGTCTCTTTCCACAGATACAATCAATAGGATTCCTGTTTATTCCATCTTATGAGGTTAATGTATATGTTGTTGAAAAAATGTATTTATTATGAATAAGTCACTGATCTTGAAAATTCTTTTATGTGATTTCCAGCATCATTTCTATCACCAATGCCATGTTTTCTACCCTTCCTCTGTTTCCAATCACCAGTTATAGTCAATGCATCTTGACTGCATATTTTATCAATTTCATGCTACAGAATTTGGCAGAATACTTCAATTTAATCATTACTGGATTTAGTGTTTGGTGCACAAATTGGAGTTTAAAGTGATATTAACTGATCTTCTTTGTAGTCGTATATGTATTATCATATCATAGACAACTCTATACTTCAAGATCTTGAAATGTTCTTTCTGATGATAAAGCTACACCATTCCTCTTGAATTTGTGTTCTGGCATAGTAAACCATATTACTGTCAGATTCAATATGACCAATATCAGACATTTTAGCTTACTAATGCTTAGAATATCTTTATTTCATTTTTGACAACTTCCAATTTTCCAAGATTCATACTTCATAATTCCATGTTCCGATTATTAATGGAGGTTTTCAGCTATTTCTCCTCATTTTGAGTTGTGCACAGTCAGCAAATAAAGGTCTCAAGAGCTTTGCTCCATTCATGACAACATGGTCAATTTTACTTACATTAGGCAGCTCTTCTCTTGACTGCTTTCCAATAGGAGAGGCTTGTCATATGGCACTACATCTGACAGTGTTCCACTACTATTCATAAGGTTTTCGGTGGTTAAACATTCAGAAGTAGTTTACCTTTTCTTCCTAGTCTTAGTCTGGAAGCACCACTGAAACATGATTACTATGGGTTACTCTGCTGGCATTTCAAACACTGGTGGCAAGGCTTCCTGCCAACACCCAAACTACCACAGTACAACAAACTGACAGACTAGGGATGGAAGGGGCCACGATATATGCAATTAAAAACTAATAATGTAAAAGGCAAGAGATAAAGAAGGAAAAGGGTAACAAAATTTACGGTGTGGTAAAATGTGGAAAATTGGTGAATCTAGGAAAGGGCATATGGGAATTCTTTGTACCATCTTTTTGATATTTCTGAAAGTCTGTAAGTTATTTCAAAATTAAAACCTTAAAAATCAACTTTTAAAATGTTAGTGTATAAAGTTTTAACCACAAATAATTAATAGATACAAGCAAGTTTGGGAAAATGGTATGTCTAGTATAAGTGGCAAGTTAAGGCATTTATACCAGAATTAAATCAATACAAGATTTCCTTTATCAAAGTTTTAACATATACAAAAAGAAGTCAGCAGTACTAAACTGAGCTTAGTGACATTTTGGCACAGCCTGGTAACAAATAACATACACTGGAACTGCAATTTGAGTAGTAATGTACCACATTTTTGCACTTAATTCAACATATCAGTATTTTAAAAAATATGCATATACTTTTGGAAAAATATGAATGAAGTTATCGCAGTTAACGTTGAGTACTACAACTAAAGGAAATGTTATTCTTCTTGTATTTTCTAATGTTTCCACAATGACCATAAATTACTTTTGTTTAACAAGATAAACAAAAAGACATTTTAAAAGAGTAACTGAAAATTAATTTAACCTTGATGGGATACTGGTCAACAGATTATTTGGAATTTTAACCCTAGGTCAAAATACAATTTTGTCTGATGTTTACATTCTGCTAAAAATTATCCAAAAGTATCTCACTTACAGCTGATCTTGAAGCTCCACAATTATATATTCTAATTGTTCCTTCTCCAATTTATGAGCCAGATCAGAATCTTCAATCCTTTGAAGTAGTATTTTATTCTGGGAGACTGATTCAGATAGTTGGTTCTCTCGAAGTCTTAAGAGTTCTTCAAGATAACCCTGGAAATACAGTATTACCAATATATAGCAACTGAAAACTTCTCATATATACCCTGAAGATCAATCCTGAATAATTTAAATGTTATTACTATCTATACTGTAATAAAGCATCTTAAAATGATCAATTTGCTAATAATGTGTTAAATAAAACAAGAAAACGTAGTATATGTTCTCTTGTTATTTAAAGCTTTTTTTTATAATTTGATAAAATGTTGCTAATTCAAGGCTAAATTAGTTTAAAACACTAATTTCTACATTCCACAACAATGATAAATAATTACATGCCTTCCAGTTTCAAAATACAGACCTAAAAATTTCAGAACTATAAATTTGAAAGCTTCCCCTATATGAAGATTTTCAGACACACACAGATATTAATACTTCAGAATTAACATGCTAATGGGACTAGTTTTGGTTAGGATTGAATGTTTAGGGACTATCTGATCTCACATTTCATTGATATCACTTACCAGCTAGGTGTCCTTGTGCAGTATTTTGCCTTTCTAAGCCACAGTTTCCACAGCTAAATAAGTGTACCTACTTGTAAAGTAAGTTCCTTAAAATTGTGCCTGGGATGAATAACTAAGCCTGGGTGCTCAGGACCATGGTCTCAGAGGACACAATGGTCAATTGGCACAACACAGTCCACAAAGACAATGCTCTACATCCTATTTTGGTGAGTAGCATCTTGGATATTAAAAGCTCATGAGCACCCTCTCCATGTACAGAAGGAAGAAGAGTGATAAGAACTGAAGATGCTAGGAATCAAGTAGTCCAATGGACGAGTGGAACATATGAACATTCGTCTCCATGGTCCTAAGATCAGAAGAAGTAGACGGTGCCCAGCTACCACTACCAACTACTCTGAATGGGGTCACATTAGAAGATACTGGATAGAGCCGCATAATGTGTGGAATAAAACTCAAAATTATTTTTTAAAAAGTTCAGGTTTACTATTCAGAAATAGACTGGAGATACATAAGACTGTGGTCTTTGACCACCCTTCAGGTCTGGAAAAGAACACACCCTCTTTCAGCCAAGCAGTAGACGTGTATATAGGGGGAACAGCAGCACTAGTAAGATATGCTCACTATGAATGATGGACCAGTCAATCATTCAAAATCTAAGGGCCAGCCTTTTTATGAAGATGGCACCAAAAGCGAAGATGGAAACCCTGCTCCTCCCAAAGCTGAGGCTAAACAAGGGCACTGAAGGCCAAGAAGGCAGTGCTAAAAGGCATCCACAGCCACACACACAAATTCTGGTGGTCCAAGACTCTCAGGCTTCGGAGGCAGCCCAAATATCCTCAAAAGAGTGTCCCCAGGAGAAACAAGCTTGGCCACTATACCATCATCAAGTTTCCTCTGACTACTGAGTCAGCCATGAAGAAGACTGAAGATAATTACACACTTGTGTTCATTGTGGATGTCAAAGCCAACAAGCATCAAATCAAACAGGCTTTGAAGAAACTTTATGACATTGACGTAGCCAAGGTCAACACCTTAATCAGGCCTGATGGAGAAACGAAGGCATATCGACTGACTCCTGACTATGATGCCTTGGATGATGCCAACAAAATTGGGATCATCTAAACTAATCATTGAACAATATCTTTGATATCCCATGAAAGTAAAGTTTTACTAAAGATAATACGGAAGTGGCTGCAAGCATACATTGACAGAGAACTTCCAGAGGTTCACGCAGGATACCGAAAAGGATGTGGAATGAGGGATATCATGTTCCATGGATCTTGGCTGAAAACAGAGAATACCAGAAAGATGTTTACCTGTGCTTTATTGATTACGTACAGGCTTTCAATTGTGTGGATCACGACAAGTTATGGACAACAAAGTGAAGTATGAGTATTCCTGAACACTTAATTGTGCTCATGAGGAATTTGTACATGGACTAAGAGGCAATTGTTCAAACTGAACATGGGAACACTGAATGGGGTTAAGAAAGGTGTGCAACAGGGTTGTATTCTTTCATCATACTTATTCAACCTGTATGCTGAGCAAATAATCCGAGAAGCTGGGTCCTATGAAGAAAAACATGGCATCAGGATTAGAGGAACAATTTGCAATATGCAGACGATACAACCTTGCTTGCTGAAAGTGAAGAGAACTCAAAATACTTACTGGTGAAAATCAAAGTGCACAGCCTTCGGTATGGATTACATCTCAATGTCAAGAATACAAAAATCCTCACCACTGGACCAATAAACAACATACTTATCAACGGAGAAAAAGATTGAAGGTGTCAAGGACTTCATTTTTCTTGGAGCAACTATCACACTCGCAGCAGTCAAGAAATCAAATGACGTATTGCATTAGGCAAATCTGTTGCACAAGACCTTTTTAAAGTGTTGAAGAGCAAAGATGTCAGCTTGAGGACTAAGGGGCACCTGACCCAAGCCATGGTATTTTCAATAACCTCATTATGCATGTGAAAGCTGGACAGTGAATAAGGAAGACCATATAAGAATTGATGTTTTTGAGTTACGGTGTTGGAAAAGAATACTGAAAGTACTATGGGCTGCCAAAAGAACAAATAGATCTGTATTGGAAGAAGTGTAGCCAGAGTGCTCCTTAGAGGCCAAGAAGGTCAAACTTCGTCTCTCATACTTTGGACATATTGTCAGGAGGGACCAGTCGCTGAAGAAGGATTTCATGTTTGGTAAGGTGGAGGGTCAGAGAAAAAGAGGAAGACCCCCAACGAGATGGAGTGGTCAAGTGGCCGCATCAATGGTTCAAGCATCCAGCATGGCCCAGGACCGGGCAATGTTTCATTCTGTTGTGCATAGGGTTGCTATGGGTCGGTACTGACTGAATGGCACCTAAAAACAACAAACTGAGTCCAGCTGACTAATTATAAATGTAAATTTTTCAAAACATTAAAATAAAAAAAAATCAAAGGGCTAACATGTACTAATGGAGAGAAGGGATGGGAAGGTGGTTGGATGGGAAATAGGGAGGAAGTGGGATGACTGTTGTTCCATGAAGCAATCACTGAAACAAAGTGTATGATTTGTTGAATGCAAAACTGATGATGTTGTCTGTAAACCTTCACTCAAGTCACAATAAAATTTTTTTTTTTTTTTTTAAATAGTCTAGAATATTGTATGCAATATATATTTATTAGCCATTATTACAGTCAAACACCTAAAAGATATGAGACTTCTTGAATTGATCCTCTGGTTTTTTAAATCCATTTATTCATTTACTATTTCTCTGTTCTTTTGCTTTGTTTTCCTGGGGAGTGGGGAGAGACTTCATTGACTTTATCTTTGAAACTAATTACATTTTTGAATGAAGAAAATCATGTTTTAATTTACAGTAGTTCTGCTTTCAAGCAGTTCCTTTTTTCAGTGCATATTAGTTGTAATATGTACTCAAACTCCTCTGAAGAAATTAATGAGAATCTTTTAAAGCACTCTTACATGTTACATTATCCTATTTATGTGTCATTAACAGTTTTAGTTATTAAAGCTTTAGGATGCATGCAAATAGTAGTTAATACTTCTCTTACTGAGCTGCTGTTCAGAACTTTCTGAAAAATTCTTTAAATTTTTTTCCAGAATAACTTTGTTTTTAACTTTTGAGATGTTAGTTTTTATAAGTGAAATATTACACCTATTTTGTTGTTGTTAAGTGCCTTTGAGTCAGTTCCAACTCATAATGACCTATGTAGGGTTTTCGAGGCTTTTAAATCTTTGCAGAAGCATAAAGTCTCATCATTCTCCTGCAGAGTGTGTGGCAAGCTTGAGCCATGGACCTTGTGGTTCTCAGTCCAGTACTTATCATACAGAGCCACCATACGTATCTTAAGAAAATGTATACCAATAAGTAAAAATGTACTGCTACTAGAGTTCCAGTTCAAATATACATAGGCTTATTCCAAACAAAACATGCTTAAACGTGTCTCTGTGATCATGGATGGCTGCAGACGAAATCTCTCAGTAATATACTTACTGCAGTATCTTCTGTTACTGGTAAATGCCATCAAGTCGGTTCCAACTCATAGCAACCCTCTATAGGGCTTCTGAGGACATCTTTTTGGGAGTAGAAAGTTTCATTATTTCTCTCACTGACCTACTAGCTGGTAGGCTCTAACCACCAATGGGGCTCGTAGTCCAGTATCTACCATATAAAGCCAACATTCGCTCTAGTCTCATTAGAGTGCCTTTTAAAAAAAGGTCCAGTCAAAATAGTATATCCTGAGGGGATCTGCTGCACTAGTTAAGGCCAACATGTCAGTTCAGAAGGTTATGGTTACTGTGTTCTGGGATTCCAAAGAGGTAATAGTAATAGATTTTATAAAAGCACACAGGACCTTCACAGGGGCCTATCATTAAGAAGTTTTAAGGAAATGCAAAACTGCATTCATGAGAAAAAAAGACTGGGAAAATGGCAACAAGAACTTTGTTTTTTCTATTTTGAGGGCAGAAAGAATTGTCCTGTAAGAATTCTGTTGGATAACCCTACTCCACCACTACAGCCCTATTTCTTTTTTGTCTCTAAACTCAATGAACATTTTATAGAAACATGATTTATTCTCTCAAGGATGACAAAACTGCCATTTTTAAATGGTGTTAACTGAAGAGCACAGAATTTTGGGGGGAAGGATTAGAGAAATAGAAACAGTTGTTTCACATTCTTATGTTTTCATCTAATAAAGGTTTCTATGATATTGTACTAATGTATTTTGGCTTCTCCTTGTATATTTATGTTTATAAATATGTACTTATATGTTTACAAACATGAGTGGAGTTCTGGTGTGGCAATGTAGTTTAAGCACTGGACTGCTAACCCCAAAGCTGGCAATTTAAACCCACCAGCTGCTCCTTGGAAACCTATTCAGGGTAGCTGTGAGTCAGAACCGACTCGATGGCACTTAACAATAACAACATAAACATTAGTAATTAAAAATACTAACCTAACCATCTCACAGATTATGAATAATTTTAGAGCCCCATACAACACTTACCTCTATTCACACTCCTCTGCTAGCTCTACAAAGACAACATCCTGAAATATGTGTTTATAATATCCTTACTTTTCTATTTTTACTATAAATGATTAACATCATAAACAATGTATTGTTTAGTTTTTCTGATTATTTCAAAACTTGGTATTTCATCTATGTGGATGTATATAGCTACAGTTCATTCACTCTAATTTTTGTATAGCATTCCATTGTACAATTAATGCAGAATTCATTTATGCATGCTCCTATTAATGGGCATGGAGTACTGGTGTGGTGCTGTGGGCTAATGCATCAGACTGCAAAGTAGTTTGAACTGCAAGGTCAGTGTTTCAAGCTCACCAGATGCTCCTTGGAACTCCTATACAGGGTCGCTATGGGTTGGAATTGACTCAACGGCACTTAACAACAACAACAATTAATGGCCATTTGTATTCTTTTAGATTTTCCTTATTAAAAATATTACTATGAACATTGAGCTATATGTCTCTTGGTACACATATTTCAGAATTTCTAGGATGTACAGGAGCATACATCAGATACGTCTTCACACTTTTTGTTGTTGCTGTTGTTGTGAAGTGCTGTCGGGTTGGTTTCAACTCATAGTGGCCTAAGAGTTTCTAAGACTGTAAATATTTACAGGAGCAGAAAGCCTCATCTCTCTCACTCACACTAATCAGATAATACCAAATTGCTTCCCAGTTTTTATGGTAAACACATTTCCATCTGTTACTATATTCACATTTTTATTAATATCAGAGGTATACTAGATTGTTGTTGCTGTTAAGTGCCATCGAGTCGGTTCCAACCCATAGCGACCCTGAACTGCCAACCTTGCAGTTCAAATGGCTTTGCAGTGTGGCGCATTAATCCACAGCACCATACCAAGACTCTATACTAGATTCAGTTCATTGAAAAAACATTCCTTCTTTGCTGTTTCATGAACAGTTAGTATAAGAAAGGGATCGCTGTATTTTGAACATATGGTAGGGCCTACCTCCAAAACTATAAATGTCTGTTAATTTGTGTGTGTGTATGGAATTTTAACCTACTAATTCAATTTATTTAATGGTTGTGATAGGTAAGGTTTTGTGTCAAATTGGCTGGGCCATGATTCTCAGTGGTTTAACAATTAAAATGCAGTTATCAACTCCATGATGAGAACTAATATGATGCAATCACCCATGAAGGTGAACTGATGTGATCAGCTCTGATCTGATATAATTATCCTTAGTGTTGTAAATCCTCAATTCTATGACACTAATGAGGTCAGGAGTCCTGGTGTGGTACTGTGGGTTAATGCACCAGACTGCAAAGCCGTTTGAACTGCAAGGTTGGTGGTTCAAGCTCACCAGCGTCTCCTTGGAAACCCTACACAGGGTCGCTATGGGTCGGAACCGACTCGACGGCACTTATCAACAACAACAACAATGAGGTCAGGTGCAATCTACAGGCTTAGGTTGTATCTTGAGTTAATCTCTTTTAAAATATAAAAGGAGAGAGAAGTGAGCAGAGAAAGAAGGACATGCTACCACCAAGACAGACAAGCCAACAGTGGAGTACATCCTTTGGACTTGGAGTTCCTGGACTATGAAACTCCTAGATCTAGAGGAAGAATGATGCCAAGAAGTATGGAGCTCTCCAAGGAATATTGGGCCTACAGATACTGAAAGGAGACAGTGACCTTCCCCAAAGCGGACACAGAGTAAGCCTTTCCCTAGAGCCACCACTCTTAATTTAGACTTTTAAGTCTTCTAACCTGTGAGAGAACAAATTTCTGGTTGTTACAACCATCCACTTATGGTACCATATTTCTGTTATAGTAGCACTAAGTAAAACTAAAACATGGTTATAGATCTATCAGTTTTGGTAAATAATATTCATATAAATTCATCTCATGCTCTAAGGTATCAATAAAATTTTAAAGTATTTGGTAATTGTTATTGTAAGGGGGTCTGCTGCATTTATAGTTAGGTCACCCACTCCCTTTCATTCTCAAAATTGTTCATCTGCCTTTAGTTTTTTAAACATTGAATTATTCTTGCTATTATTTGTCTATTTCATTAGTTTTTTGACAATAAATTAGTTTTTGGTTTTGTCATTTCTATTTCTCTGCTTTCTAATTAATATCTGTTCTTATTTTATTAGTTTCCTTCTTTTAATTGGTATGGTAGTTTTTTGTCTACTTCGTGGATACCTCTTTAATTTTCAATCTTTCTTCTCTACATGCACAGGTTTCTACATGTAGATTTAATTCTACATGTACAGGTTTCTCCCATTTTCCAAATGTAGAGCATTCCTATTAAATCTTTCTTAAGACAAGGTGGCAAAAAGCAAAGAAGCAATTACCAATCAATTATATGAGAAAAATTTGTGAGCACTTTCAGACCAAAAAACTTACCTACAAAATCATACCAAATAATACATAAAGCCTAAAATAATACTAACACATAGTGTTCTGGTGTGGTGCTGTAGGATTAACACTGGAGTATGAGGTCAGTTTGAACTTCAGGGCTGGTGGTTCAAACCCCGTACAGGTTTGCTATGAGTTGGAACCGCCTCAATGGCACTTAACAACAACAACAACAATAGTGTTCGCATACACAATATAAAGTTACAGTAGCTTGAAGCTGAGATGCTGTATAGTTCATGGAGAGGAGCTTGGCTACACCACTCTCACTGCTTGGGAAGCATAATGCCACTTTAAAGGTATACTGCTAAACAAAAGCTGAAAGCTAGTTCTGCTAGCCTTTTTTTAGTAAAGGTGAGAATCTTCTACAGGTATCTTTTGGTTGGCAAAAATGGGTACTAATGTAGAACTTTCGTAAAAGCAAAGTGTAATAAAGGGTGCTTTCAAAAAGCATGGGATACAGGTACTGTACAACTCGCAACTTACTATTTCATTCTTGTTTATTTAAATAGTGCCTCATTATTTTTTTATCATAGTTATCAGAACTTGGAGCCCTGGTGTGACTTCAAGGTCCGTTTGTGTCAGAATAGAACTGTGCCCCAAAGGTTTTTTAATGGCTAACTTTTCAGCTGTTGATCACCTTTCTTCTGAGGGCCCTGTGGGTGAACTCAGGAAACTTTCAATGCTTTGGTTAGAAGCTGAGTTCATTAAACCTAACCACCCAGTTCCTGTTTGCTAGTAAACTCCTTTTTTTGAGAGCTTAATTCTACACAAAACTTTTAAAAACTTTATTTACCCAGTATTTCTATATTTTTTAAATGAACACATTTTAAGATTATCTTAGTCTTCCTTCTTGCTGGTACAGAAGTCTCTAATAGGGATTAAAGTTTATTTTTATAGATTATGCACATTTTATTGGCATTATAAATGGAATAGTTTTCAATACGTTTTCTAACAAATAGTTATTCATCTTTAGGAAAGCTATTCATATCTACAAACGTATTTAGTAACATTTTTACCCAGTGCATTTTTATTATCCTAATAGTTCTATAGCTAACTCCATTGAGCTTTCCTGACATATACCATCTATGAATAATGATAACTTTGAAGGAAGAGCAAAAAGAAAATAAGATAACATAGTAAGAAAAGATGAAGTTACAAACTCTTCAAGAGACTGGAGTTTATTTTTCTTTAATATGCTTCATTCTGCCTAGTACAGTGATTAACATAGAGCTGTGAAACACCTGATTTAAGATATCAGACACATTAGTCATGGGCTAAAAAATTAGTACATTTTCACAAACCAATGTTTTATAAATTTAATCATTAGAATGAAAATCACAAATACATAAATTAAAACTATTTACAAAATAAATGGTTGATTCTTACATTACAAAATAAAATTAGAAAACTTTAACAAATAATGTTTCCTAAAATAGTGCCTGATTTTTCATTAATAGGTAGACTGTTCAAGAACAAAAAAGACGTATGAACGGGTAAGCGACTTTGTTCAGATAAATGATTATTGACAGTTAATGGTCTAGAGGCACAAGTGAGAATCAAAGCAAAGACTTTTGCAAACTGATAAATACCTTCTGTTCCAGGGTAAGTTGGAACTTCTGTTTAACTCTCTTACACTTGTTGAACCAACTATTCTCATCCATGATGAAAGGAGGTCCAATAGTCTCTGGAGAGCTGCTTTCACTACCACTGCTGCCCAAAGTCCTTAGCTCTTCCTCATCACTGCTGATACTATCAGAACTAGGCAAATCACATTAGAAAAAGAAATAAAGTCAGTTATATGTTCTCATCCAATGATCTAGGAACAAACCATACACAAACATACACCAAAAGATGTTACTGCTCTGTTGCCACTGGGGCTCTGGATTTCTGGTAGATCCCTGTCAATGTACTACTGCAACTGTTTTTTAATTACCTTCAATAAATTTTACTTCCATGTGATACCAATGGTATTGTTTGATAGTTTCCACATCCCATTGAATCACCTTTTTTTGTAATAGACACAAATATGGATCTTTTCCTATTAGTTGGTCACGTAGCTATCTTTCAGGTTTCTTGGCACAGACAAGTGAACACCTCCAGCTTGCATCAGTTTGCTGTAACATTTCAATTTGTATTCTGTCAATTCCTGGAAACTTGTTTTCCACCAAGGTCTTCAGTGCAGCCTGTACTTCTTCCTTTAATACCACTGATCCTTGATCACATGGTAACCTTGGAATGACTGCACATAGACTAATCCTTTTTGGTACAACTGATTTTGTTGACTCCTTCCATCTTCTTTTGATGCTTTCTACATCATTCAATATTTTGTCCATAGAATCCTTCAATATTGCAACCTGAAGCTTGAATTTTTTCTTCCATTCTTTCAGCTTGAGAAATGCTGAGCATGTTCTTCACTTTTGGTTTTCTAACTCCAAGTCTCTTGAAATGACTGAACATTAACCAATTATTTTTGGTACAGTGACTCTGTGTATTCCTTGCATCTTCTTCTTCTTCATCTTTTTTTTTTTTTTTTTATTGCTTCCAGTTTTTCGAGGTTTTTAAAAATGCTTTATTGTGAATAATGTGATAGCTTACATGGGAGAACATTAGCTTTATATTCATCCTATATTGTTACACTGCCATGGTTACAATCCCCTCCATGCATCATCAGCCAAAAAAAGGGTATACCCTGCAAGCCTGCCCCCTGGTCATCAGCACACAGCCCCTCTCCCTCTATGGGTCTAGAGTCCCCAGCTGCTTCATCTCTCCATTGTCATCATCTCTGCCTCCATCTCTGGCATCCCTGCTTCTCTGGGTAGGGTTCACTCTCCGCTCTTCTCCCTTGATTGTCCCAGGAACCTCCGCTCCTGGACTGCAAAGTCAACCACTCCCCCTCCTTTTGCTACAAAACGTCTACCTTTACATTTCCAACCCTCACAGTCAGTCTTGATAGCGACTATTCACTATTGTGCCACATGAGTGCTATCCCCATCTCCTTTCATCAGTCCCACCCAGACAGATTGGATACTACTCAGTGGAGATTCTACCTCCCTTCATGCTCTCTGGATCTAGGATCCCTCTTGAAAGCTTGTAAGCCAGTCACTTCTTGCCTTTGTAGCCCTCCATTTTGGGTAGCCAATGTCCAAATTGCACATCCCTGTCTACCCTGTGTATTGAGGGGGTAGGAATGATCCTCACTGTAAAGATTTGTTCCCTCATTTGAGCTACTGCAACCATAGGTGTAGGTCAATTTCATCAAATTGTATTAGATTACTACTTTTTTCCCCTCTTCTTTCTTCTTCTAGTTGACTTCTGATCATCCAGCAATTGAAGCCAGGCCAAGTGGGTATTATCTGCAAGTGTCGGTGTTCTTGTGCATATGCCCTCTCTTCTTATCAGCTGGACACTTCATTCTCCACTCTAGTCCTCTGTGGCAGTGTCACTGACTCTGGGCCCAGGAGTCCCTAGGTCTTGCTATATTGCTGGTCAACCAGGTCTCCACCTGGGTTCACAGGAGTCTACTGAATGTTGTTTTTTTCCTCACTTTGCTGGTTTTTTCCTCACTTCCCCTTATCGGTGACCAACATGGTCACCAGTCAGAGCACATGTCTGCTTGTCTATTTCCATTGAGTCTTAGTGTTAGAAGATGGTTTGCCCTGAGGGGAGCCGACCACTTGCCTTGATGTCTCCTGGGTGAGCAACTTGCTTGTTCTTGTAGTAGTCAGTCACACTGCTGTTATTGTTTTGTATTTTTCCTGTTGGTCTTTCTTTCAAGAAATATCTTCTGTTCTTCTAGCCGCTCCAGGCTGGTCTGCTTGTCCTTGCAAGTGGAAATTTCCCACCTCAGAAGATTCTAGATGGGGTTCACAATTCCACCTATGGTCTTATGTAATTGCATCTTCTTTTGATGCTTCCAGTGTCATTCAATATTTTGCTCATGTTCTTAGTATTGTGTGACATGCTAGTTCTGATTCATAGTGACCCTGTTTAGGTTTTTCTAGGCTGTAATTCTTTAGTGGAGAAAACCTCTTCTTTTTCCTGCAGAGTAACTGGTACATTCAAACTCCTGATCTTGTGGTTACCAGCCCAATGTACAATTTACTACACTACCAGCGCTCCTTATTTTGCTCATGGACTCCTTTAATAGTATGAGATACTTGAGTTTTTTTCCTTCAGTTCTTCCCTTTTGGTTTCCTAACTGCAGATTTTTGTACCTTTCATTATAATACTTGACTTAGTTATCTCAAGTTGCCCTTTCATCTTAGCTCTTTGATTCATCATTTCTTCACTCTAACTTTTCTCTATATTGAACAAGTTTCAGAATCTCTTCTGACATCCATTTTGGCCTTTTCTTTCTTTCCTGTCTTTTTAGTGACCTTTTATTTTCTTCTTGTATGACATGCTTGATATCATTCCACAACTCCCCTGATCTTCAATCACTAGTGTCTAGTGTATCAAATCTGTTTTTGAGATAGTCTCTAAATTCAGGTAGGATATTCTCAAGGTTATATTTTGGCTCTTGTGGACTTCTTTTCAATTTTCTTCAGCTTCTGCCAAAGTACATATGAGCAACTGATGATCTTTTCCAAATTTGGCCCCTGGCCTTGTCCTGGCAGAGGTTTCTGAGTTTCTGACAACAGATGCAGCCAATGTGATTTCTGTGTATTACCTCTGGTGAGGTCCATGTGTACAGTCATGGTTTATGTTGTCAAAAAAAGGCGTTTGCAATGAATAAACCTTTTTTCTTGTAAAATTGTTATCATGCCATCTCCAGCTTCATTTCTATCATTGATCCTTCCTCTTTTTGCTTCCAATTTTGCATGCAATCTCCAGTAATTATCAAAGAATCTTTACTGCATATTTGAGATCAATTTCAGTCAGAAAAAAGTTGATGGAATTCTTCAATTTTATCAGCAGCAGCTTTAGTGGTTGGTGGATATAATTAAATGAGATTTGTATAAATTGGTCTTCCTTGTTAAGTGCCGTTGAATCAGTTCCAACTCACAACAACCATGTTTAGAGTTTCCGAGGAACAGCTGGTGAGCTTGAACCACCAACCTTGTGGTTCATATTGACTTTGCAGTCCAGTACATTAACCTACAGCACCACACCAGGATTCCAGTCTTCCTTGTAGGTGTATAGATATTTTCTGATCACAGACAGCATTGTACTTCAAGATAAATCTTGAAATGCTATATTTGACAATGAATGCAATGCCATTCCTCTTCAGTTTGTCATTCCCAGCATAGGAGACCATTGTTGTTAAGTGCTGTTGAGTCAGTTTCAACCCATAGCGACCTATATAGGGTTTCCAAAGAGCAGCCGGTGAGCTTGAACCAGTGACCTTATGGTTCAAACCAACTTTGCAGTCCAGCATATTAGCCCACAGTGACACACCAGGACGCCATAGTAGACCATATGGTTGTTCAATTCAATTAGTCTGTTTCTGCTCACTAATGCCTAGGATATCTATCTTTATGCATTCCATTTCATTTCTGATGACTTCCAAATTTCTTAGTTTTATACTTTGTACATTCCACTATCAATGGACATTTGCATTAATTTTCTCATTTTGAGTTATGCCCTATCAGCAAATGAAGGTTCTCCAAGCTTTACACATCATTAAGGTCAACTGTGCTTTTAAGGAGGCAGCTCTTTCCCAGTGTATTTTGAGTGCCTTCCAACCCGAGGGACTCATCTTCCAGTAGTGTATCAGGCAATGTAGCACTATTATTCATAAGGGTTTCAATGGCTAACCGTTCAGAAATGGTCTGCTTTTCTTCTTCCTAGTCTGTATTAGTCTGGAAGGTCCACTGAAACTTGTCCATCATGGGTAACCTTGTGGTATTTAAAATACTGGTGACACAGCATCCAGCATCACTGAAACAAACATGCCACCACAGTGTGACAAACTGTTAGACAGGCAGTGGTGGGGTAATTTTTCCATCTATATAGTTCATACTGAGTTTCACAAAGATAAACTTACATTTAAAAAGAAAAATACTAAAAAAAAGAAAGAAAAGAAAAATACTGATAGTCAATAAACATTTTTTTTAAAGTTTATTAACTTTACCAGCAAACAATAGGATTCCACTTTTCATATATGCAATATGTCATATTTTTAAGTGTTTGTTAACCTCAGTGACAAACAGGTAATCTCATGAACTAGTGATAGAAACTAAACTGGTATGAACTTCTCTGGAAGATAATTTGACAGTATATGTCAAAATTTTTAATAATATATATGTCTTCTACCCAGAAATTCCACTGCTATAATTTTAACTTACAGAAATAATCATGGTTCCATGTCAAAATATGTAGTGACAAGGATATTAAATGAAGTACTATATATATATATATATATATAAGAGTGAATGTATCCTAGAAGTCCAACAATAACTGGTAATAAAATAAATGTTTTACAAAAAGTCATTTAGGTCACAAGAGTAAATTAAACAAAAATAAGTCATTCTACTTATACATTAAAATATCAGTAACATTTCAAAATGTTAAATACCTTTGGGTAAACTTCAGATATGGTGTATAATCTATTACAGCAGGGAAGTTGCCATCCAATCCCTCTCCTTTTAGGCAGAAGCTAATAGACAACACATATTTCATATTAATACATAAAATTTAAAATCAAATGTACAGAGGCATTTGTTCTATGAAATTGCAGATTAATTATCTAATTGCAATTTAATTGCTAAATGTGACAAATAAAAACCTCATTAAAGATAGTTTACCTTCCATATAAATGACAGACCATATCATAAGTTAATACATTGTTATAAGAATATCAAGCAAAAGTAAAATCTACTGAGAAGTATGTTAAAAAATTATCTTTACTTAATATTGTCTTAGTCTTTAATGGGCTTTTAAAAAGTCACTAGAGAACTTTTAAATGAAGATACATTCTTCACACTTAGACGCAGATTCTCAGGTGACACTGAATAGCCCCTAAAATATGTGACTGCTTAAAAACTAGGATAGACTTTATCATCTGAAAAGCTGAAAAGCCTTGGCTCTTATACTTAAAAAAGGATGTTTAAAATCCTCCAGTCTATTTCTTGTTATTGTTAAATACCATTGAGTTGGTTCTGACTCACAGTAACCCTGCATAGGGTTTCCAAGGACCAACTGGTAGGTTTGAACCCTCGAATTTGTCATGAGCAGTCTAGTGCTTATTCCTCAGTGCCACACCAGTCAGTCATTTTTGAAGCCATAGCAATAAGACAAATGTTAAGTAACTTGATCAGAGTCATACAATGTGTCTGGGAAAGTTAGTAAAGGAACTCTAAATCTCCTGGTTCCCCCAATCAGCAATCTTTGTTTTCTATGATGGTACATCTGATAGAACAATATAAAGAAAAAGTGCTTACTTTTATGATTACTGTTGTTTTATAAAAGTGTATCTTTTAGGAACATAGACATAGGAATATAAGATACAGATTCATCTTTTAAAGGAAAAAATAATATAAACTTTCAGCTACTGTTTCTTTGGGTAGTTGGCCTACTGAAATAATTGTTCAAATAGATCAATATTGAAGATATGAAAACACTTTTTCACACATTAATTAAAAAACAAAGATCAAACTGGGAATACTTTCTACATGCTTTCCTTTATGTACAGAAATGTACTGGTATATATATAAGACATATTGCTTTGAAGTAATTATATAGTATCAATGGGTTATACTAAGCCAAGAGTTGCTGTTCTTCTCCTGGTGGGGTTTTTTGGTTTTGATCGCCAACATCATGTTTTACAAGGGTTAAAAAACAAAAACCAACTCTCTACAGAATCTAGACAGTCAGCATACACTCAGCACATCATGCTAAGAGTTAACATACTAGAGGGATCAGAAACATACCCTTCCTACTATCATCTATCATATTCATCCTTAGAAAATTAAGCTGATTTGCCTAATAACAGTTTGTTAAACTTTAAACAGTGAAAAGTTATACCCTTGTGAAGACAAATTTTTTAATATTATTATTTATTAGAAAAGGTGATCTCAGTGAAAATGTACAGCATTATTTCTTAATTCAAGCCCTAAGAGTAAATTTTCATTTGTCTTGTAGTTATTTTGTTAATATCCTTGAATTTTCAAATCATATTATTTCAATATAGTTCTAGTATGTTTTGACAGGTTTTTTACTTTAGTAAAATGTAAAGTCTAGGGTCAGATAAAAAAATACAAAAAGATGCTCCATAAATCTAAGAGAAATTGTTATATTGCCCATTTTTAGAATGTACAGTCTTAGTCTTGGTGAAAATGAAAGCAAATATGAACAAGTGTTGGATATTCCAGATATATAAATCAAAATAATAAGATCTAGGATATCTTGTCAGAATCCTTTTTTTTTTTTTGAGGAGAAACAGCTGGAAACATTGATTAATAATTGGTACATAGAACGTATGAAGTATGAACCAGAAAAACTGGATGTTGTCAAAAATTAAATGGAATACATAAAGATCAATATCTTAAGCATTAGTGAAATGGACTGGCACCGATCATTTTGAATCTGACAATCATGTGGTTTACTATGCCAGGAATGACAAAGATGACTGGCATTGCATTCAACATTAAAAAGAACATTTTAGGATCTTTTTTTTTTTTTTTATGTTTTATTGTGTATTGAGTGATAGTTTACATGGGGGAACATTAATTTTACAGTCATACTATCCTATATCGTTTCATTGCCTTAGTTACCATCCTGTTCATGCATCTTCCCCCAACGAAAGGGTATACCTTGCATGCCCCCCCACACACACACATGGTCCTCAGCACTCAGTCCCTTTCCCCCTCTGGGTCTCATCTCTTCACGTTGTCCTCTCTGTCTTCATCTCAGGCCTCACTGCTTCTCTGGGTGGGGTCCAGCTTTCTATTCTTCTCCGTCGATGGTCCCAGAGCCCTCCGCTCCTAGACTGAAAGGTTAGTCACTCCCCTCCTTGCTATAAAATATCTGCCTTCACATTTCCAGTCCTCACAATCAGTCCTGGTAACAATTTTCACCATTGCATCACATGAGACCC